ACATAAGAGGCTATCAACCAAGGATTTGTTCTAGCCAATGGGGCTCGTTATCGTATTTATATTACTCTAAGAATAGCTCGTGCCCGCTCCCAATTGGCCCCTACAATAGTACTACTTACTATTACATGTTAATGAACTCTAGAACAAACACCACCACAACTGCGAGGCTTTGAAAAATACTGTACCTCAGACTACCATTTTAGACATGTGTGTATTCAAGCCAGCCCCCTCACACTGTAAATATATATATATTGTGGATTCGGTACAGATTTCCAGACCCCATCGAATCGCCGAATCGAATCACGAATCGACGCTATTGGCTAATCCAATTTTGAGTGGATTTGATTGGCTTTTACAGAAGGGACAAGTATATTCAACCAATCCGAACTCCAGAGTGATTCAATATTGATTAGACAAATTTTGGAAGTTTATGGCGAATTCACAATATATACTGTTAGATTTTACATTCAAGAGAGCCGTTTCGTTGGGTTTTATTTGCTCTTCCCATATTTGTCATGCATGAGGTGGTTGGCTGTGATTCTGAGGCACCTTGAAATCTGCAAAGACCAACATTTGGTCTTTGCACATCTGAGGGTTCGTCAGATTGGCTAAAATTGCTGGTCTGAGTAAATGTTAGATTCAAAATACTGAGGTATTTGTGGTAGTTTTTCGGTAGACTCTATGACGACGAGTTTGCACAGTGGACGTTAGATTGTCGTAATAACGTTAGTCTTCGATTTTTGGTAGAATTATTGTCTTCCTTTTCCCCAACATTTGGCCATTTGTGCTGATTTTTGCCAAATCGATCGATCGATTGTTTGTACCGACGCCGTCTTGTTTCACACTAATTTCAGTCTCACACGATTTTGATGTTGAATTGGTCGAAGCGTGGATTTGATTGGCTATTTGATTCTTGATCTGGATTTTGATTGGTCGATCGATTGTGTGCCAATTGGTGATTCTGCTCATTCGATTGAGCACCCACTCCAATTTCGAATCGACTTGACAATATGATCGTTGGTGCACGTCATCTATAAACTACTAACTTTTCACATAATTTTCTGACTTCTATTTCGTTTATATTAGTCATAACCTCAGCAAATGAGACGTAGAATCGACAGATCTTAAATTCTACGTCTCAGATTCAAATTTGGTGCAGAATTGGTTAAGAAATAGACAGTTAACCAAGCGGTATTTTGCATGGGCGAATGGCGAGGGCCATTGAACTATATTTTGATGATGAAAATGGACCTTTAACCTACCCCTATAAGGATAAAACGCATGAAATCGGGGGATTTTCAGTTAACTTATTTACTAAAGAGTACTAGTAACTACATTTAATATGCGTTAACAGTAAATAATATAACCTCGAGTCTTGAATTTAGCCAGCTGGACGTGCACCTGTACAAAACGTTAATACGGAATCGTTGCATACTATGCTCTGTACTAGTAGTACTACTAGTAGTGGACTAACTGGAAGGTGCTAGTGATGGATGGGTCTGGCGTTTAGATCCCGACCTTTCTTGTCGGTCGCGATTTGGTTTGTTGCGTAAAGTACTGGCTGGTACTGTACTCCAGTACTGTAGTATCTCGAGTGTACTCGAGATACAGTACTGTACAGTTGTTTAGTAGTACTGTCCAATCACTTAGTATTACTAGTAATACATACAGAGTTGGGATTGTGAAGGATACAAACTGGTGCATTACAGTAGTAGTAGTACTACTAGTAATAGTACTTGTCGACAGATGATCCTACTTGTGAATGTTGATCCTTTCAAAGTGACCTGGAATGCGTTTGCAGCGTGTGATTGGGCGATTTTGTTTTATTTATTTTTTTAAATTTGGATCATATTTTTTTAAATCGTCGTTGTGTCGTGATCACATGACCAATTACCAAGTCGCCGCAAGATGCTCGACACCATGCTTATCTCTCTGGATGCGACCATTGACCGCCTCTGCAGCAGTCCACACCCAGATGACGCCAACAGCATGCTGTACTACGATCACATGGACGACTTGCTCATGGAAGGCGGCGCTGCTGCCACGTCATTCAGCCAAGGCCGGCAAGACTGCAACCATTATCCCATCATGGACGATCCATACACCATCGTTCTGTGAAGATGACTCCCATGTTAGTTGGGCTTCAAGAAAGCTTATTGAATACGAACGATGATCTATGTGTGTCTGTGTCATGTTTTATGGTTCCTAGGTGTCATCTTGAGCTTTGAGAGATTGCTTTGCTTCTTGACCTTTTGCTCCTTTACAAACCCGCGCAACTGGCCTTCCGCGGTGTACGTCTTCCTCCCGCCGTCTTCGTTCATCTTGAACGCTTCCAAGAACGCAAACGCCCACGCGTGCATCTCCGTTTCGCTTGCCATTGACATGAAGAACCGACGTGACGGTGTTGTGATCGCCAAGCACCATGTTGTCGGCGGGTCCTTGGACATCTTGGTCGGAACCATCTCGAGCGAGTCCTTGGTACAACTCGATAGGTCGAGGCATCCCTTCATCGGTCCGTGCTCGTGTTGGAAGTAGCGCAAGTCTTCCTGTGTCAGCTCAAAGTACCGCTTCTTCCAATTCCTGCGCTGGAAGAGTCCATCGCCAGAGCCCTGCTTGAACATGCTGCCCCGCTTGATCAGCACCATGTACGTTGCTTGACCAGAAATGCAATCCTTTGCACGAGTTACTTACATTCTGTGATACTTTATTGAATGGAAATAATATAATTAAAGAACGATACGCCCTCATATATACGCGTTCAAAATACTAATATCGACGCTTATTGCGTCAAGAAAATACATTTACGAAGGGTCCAGTTCAAGGCGTTGATTGGTTGATTGCAATGGAAATCGGCCAATCATATTATCGTATTGTGTTGTTGACGAATTCCCATTTTCAATTTCGATGGCGGTCCTCCGCGTGGTGTCGCTGTTGCCGTCGGCGACGGAGCTGCTACACTTCCTTCTCGTGAAACTCAATGCCAGGCATGACGAACCCGTCGCAGTCCTCGTGGGTCGGTCCCACGAGTGCGATTGGCCGGAGGAGTATGCCGCACTTCCAGTACTCACGTCGTCGCGCGTCAACGGCGCGCTGTCGTGCGCTGAGATCGATCGCCAGGTTCGGGATGAACTCGCCGCCGGCGTCTCTCTCTACACGGTGGACACAGAAATGTTGCTATCACTGCGTCCAGATCTCGTGGTCACACAATCGCTGTGCCAAGTGTGCACGGTCGACTATGCGATGGTGGTCGCCTTACTCACGGACGCCGACCCGTGTCCGCGCATCCTCGACACGAACCCAAGCTCGTTCTACGATGTATTCCAGGACATCCATCGTCTCGCAGATGCCCTCGGAGCGCCGGATGTCGGCCACGAACTTGTTACGGAGCTGCAGGCGCGCGTGGATGTCATCCTTGCCCACGTCGTCGTTCGTTCATCACCTCCCCGACTCAAGATTGGATTCTGCGAATGGACCGATCCCATCTTTTGCGGCGGTCACTGGACGCCCCAGATGATCGAGATGGCTGGAGCCGCGCATCCCTTGAACAACACCCGCGGCCCCGGCAAAGGTACCTGCCGTCTCTCTCACCATGATGTGATTTTGCACTATTATCCGGATACAGTTTTTGTCCGGATAACGACAATATCCGGATACTGCTTTGTAACTGCCATTTTTTAGGCGGGTGGCCATCTCGGACGATCTCGCCGGCCGAGTTTGTGGCGATGGATCCGGACGTGATCATCGTGGCTCCATGTGGCATGGACTTGAACACGAGCAAGAAGGAGACGGTGGCGATGCTCATGCAGCCATGGTGGACACCCCTGCGAGGGAAACCGCTGTATGTCGTGAACGGGAACCACATGTTCAACCGCCCGGGGCCGCGCTTGGTGGACGCCCTCGAGTGGCTCGTGAGCATTGTCCATCCCGCGTCGACGCTATCGTTCCCAGACTTTCCCGCCGAACGCTACCCCAACCATGATGCGGTCAAGACGGACGAGATCGACGTCAAGTGTAGTGTGATTATGCCTTAGCACTACTCTTCTTCGCTTTCTTTGGGACGCGCTCTTCCGTCGATGCGGGGGCGTCGGCGGTGGGCTTGGTTCGCTTCGCAGATGTCTTGTGCGTCTTGTTCTCGTTGTTGGACGAGCTGTTGTCCTTGGCTTTGTTCGCAAGGGCCTTCTTGGCATCCAGAGCCGTTTGATGCTTGAGCCGGCGCTTGGCGGACTTTCGCTGGTTGCGCGCCTTCAAGCGCGCGATTTCTTCGGGGGTAATGCATGCCCGCTTGTGTTTCTACGTCGCAAGGCATGAGCATGACGCGAGTACTAGTACTAGGAGAACCTTGGATTGGACGTGGTTCAAAATGTCTTGTTCGTTGAACAACTTGACTTGGGGACACACCTTGCACCGGAACGCATTCCGTCCTTCCAACGTGGTCGGGACAAAGTCGTCCAAGAACGCCGCGCGCTCCTCTTCCTCGTCGACCTCTGCTTCTGCATCATCGCTGTCATCGTCGGCATCGACTTCCTTCCGCGGTCGGTCGCCATCGTCGTCGGAGTCCGACGCGGCGCGTCGTCGTCGCTGATGTACGGCGTCCTCATCACTGTCCTCCCCTTCGTCTCCAGACACACCAGACGAGTCGTCATCTCCATCGTCGCTGACCACCAGATCTGTGTTCATGATGTCCATGTGCTTCTGCGCCGCTCGGAATAGCGCCATCCTTGTGGTTTGATCGTGTGACCTTTTGAACTTTGACTGGTACTGGGGTCACATCCGGATATTTTTCCACCTCGTTTTCCGGAATAGTAGTATCCCAGCATACGTGATCGTCCACTATTAATAGCACATGTTCTCCCTGTTATACGTACTTGAAGTAGTAGTTTGTCAATGAGATTGCAACGAGCATACAATAGTAGATACTTGTGCTAACGTTATCGAGGAGACTCTGGACCCTCAACATGACATCAGCAATTATTGTGTCAAGCGCAAAAAAAATAAGTTCATTTTTCTACTTACAGTCAATTACTTCGAAGTATAATACATGGACTTATTTATGGAATTTGTACGGAGATTGCCTACGACTTCATATTTAACCAATGAAAACACTCGTGTACAATGATTGGATAATTCAATTACAAATCCATGTGCATCATCCCGAAACACTATTGACGATCGTCCTTGGCAATGCAGGCTGCATGATACGAGTAAAATTATGCGACGATGGAATACTACAGTAATCATGTACTACTAGTAGTAGTACTAGGTTAGTATTTCAGATATCAATGTTGACTGTAAGCATCCGTCACCACGACCTTGCCCGCTTGCAAGGCATCAGCTATCGTCGGACGACTTCAACGCTACGGTATGTAGTACATATGTTCAACCACGTATATTAACGTTAAGGTTACTCCGGAAGTAGAATGTATGCATGCATTTGCGTGGACTTGATTGTGAATTGTTAGCGAACAGAGGAAAATATAGAGAAATGTAGATAATAGGCCACTGTCAACAATTTGACCCGTAAATACTTCAATCCTTGCTTCATTACAGAGATATACTTTCGGGCCTAGTGTGTTTCTTGCCCACACAACAATTTCCGAAAACTCTTGATTCGCAAACGCGTCCAGCTCGACTGTCATCACAACAGATCACTTTGACACTGCCAAAATGGTCACACCTTCCTACGAAGTAGTACTTCACTTACTACGTTCAACATTGCGTACTGCTACATACATTATGCTATCGATGTCATTAGCACTAGGAAGCCTCACGTTCACCATTGATATGTGACCTGTACGACAGGGAATTGGTCAATTGGAGTCGCACAATATATTCTTGAGAGCTCATTAGAGACCTTAGCAAACCAGGAATTATTTTGGCTCAAATATACGAAATATCGATGTCAATTCGTACAGTTGCACCTCCAAATTTCTAGACAATCATAGTTGATTTTCACAACAATAGAGAGGTTTTGCAACTCATCCGTACATTACCCCCATCCTCACATTACCCCCATCCTCACAAAATCGACATTTGTCGTTTTGAGGGTAATGACAATGATGAAGTATTATTGTGTTAACGTAAACGACCACTTTATGGATACTTGGACGGTTTATGGATACGTCGGATAAGCCAATAGAATCGCCAGGATTTTGAGCGGCAAAACCTCCACAAAATAATACAGCTTGTCAACACTCAGTCTGCGTTTTCGCGCCAACATGGCACCACTCACTCGGAGTCGGTACACACCGGCCGAGCTCCACCAAGCCATCCAAGACGTCATCAGTGGACAGAGCGGGCGTTTTGTTTCCGGCAAGTCCAAGATTCCGTACCTTACGCTTATGCGCAAGGTGCGAGAGACAAAGGCTGGCACGCTGGTGCCTCCGCAGCGGCGGGGTCCACCTCCCATTCTCCCGCGTGACTGCGAAAGTGACCTTGTGGCGTGGATCACCGCCATGCAACAAGACGGGCACCCTGTGGATCGACACATGATCCTCATCAAGGGCAACCAACTGGTTCGCCAACTTGACCCTCTCGGGTCAGTCTCGGGAGGCTGGTACAAGCGGTTTATGCAACGGCATACCCAGCTGACTTCACGAAGTGCCCAAGTCATTTCGCATGCCAGGAACAGTGTCAACGACGCTGCAGTGCAAGTACTGTTCGATTCAGTCGAGAGCATCATCGCGGAACACGGTATTATTACATCAGAATTTTTGGAATTAATATTATACTCTTAGGATTTACTCCTGACCGAATTTTCAACATGGACGAGACGGCGTTTGCCTCAAGGCAAAAGTTCAAAAAGGTCGTTGCAATCAAGGGCTCACGGAACGTTTGGGCGAAAAACGTCCCAGCAAATTTTCACCTGACGATAGTGGCGTGTGGAAATGCGAATGGTGTTTTTATTCCTCCTTTGTTTTACTTCCAGGTGAAACAATTGAGAAGGTTTTGGGACTTGAATGTTGCGTGCCGCATGCTACCGTTTCTACATCTCCGAAAGGATTTATGAACGAAGATTTGTTTGTCTCGTGGTTGAAGATGTTTTCGGCTTCGGTCAGTGTTGAAACGCAACGTCC